AGTTCCCTAGCAGATCACGGCACCATCTCCTTTTTAATCGACGCCTGGGGTTGCCAGGTAATGTTTGAATGGATAGATTTTTAATGAGTGGGTTATGGTGTGTTTGCAGCCGGGCATGAAAGATTTTGTAGAAATGTATAGCTTCTTCTGATACAGTTTTTATTGACAGGTCATTATGTATAGTGTAATTCGAAACAAAGGGTGGAGCATTAGTAATTTTTCGAAGAGCAATATTCTGAAATTGCTGAATTTTGTTTGTATTGGACGCTTTTGCTGTACCCCATAGTTGGAGACCATAAGTCCATAGAGGTTTTAGTAATGTTTTATACATAAGAACTTTAATTTTTAAGCTGGAGTGTTTATTATTTGTGAGTAGCGTTCGTAGTCTGCGAAGACGGGCGTTTAAGGCAAGTCGTTTTATACGGATATGGCTATTCCAGGTGAGGCGCTTATCCAAGTTAATTCCAAGATATCTAACTGAGTCAGCTGTGGGAATAAGTATGTTATTTAAATAGACATTTGGACAAATGGAGTGGCATAAGGTGAATGTTATGTGTACTGACTTAAAGGGATTAGGTTTAATGCGCCAATCGGTGTACCAATCAGACATTAGGTTGAGATGAGTTTGAAGATTTGCCGAGGCCGTAATAGGGTTTTTGTCAATTGATATGATGGCTTTGTCATCCGCGTAATCAGCTACAGCTGTGTTCTGGGAGATGGGCTGATCAGAAGTGTAGATATTAAAAAGAAAGGGAGAGAGGATTCCGCCCTGGGGAACTCCAGCTAAGATTTCCTCGATTTTGGATACTGAGGAGCCAAACCGGATTTGAAAATGGCGGTCGCTTATATAAGACTTAATTAATAAATATAAACAGGGAGACAGAAATTTTTTTAATTTAAAAAGTAAACCTTCGTACCAAACTCTATCGAACGCTTGGCTAATGTCGAGAAAAGCACAAGTGCAATAATGCTTGTATTCTAGGGAGCACGAGATTGCGTCAACTAGTCTATGTACCTGGTGTATTGTATTATGAGCTGAGCGAAAACCAAATTGCGAGTCAGGTAAAATCTTGTTCGTAGAAATGTAAGGTAATAGCCTTTTAAGTATCAGTCTTTCCAGTATCTTACCTAGAAAAGGTAATAGACTTATTGGTCTGTACGAGGAAGGCAGATCAGGTGGTTTGTCTGGTTTAGGAATCATGATTATGTTTGAAAATTTCCATAAGAGTGGGAAGTATGAAAGCCGTAAGGTTGCATTAAATAAATAGGTAAGAAATAGTATAGCTTTTTTCGGAAGACATCTAGCAACTTCTGCAGTAATAAGATCAAAGCCTGGTGTTTTTTTTGGTGGAATATTTTTGTATTGCTGTTTTTATTTCGTTTGTTGTAAAACACTTTTCAGGGAGATGAAGAGGCATGGGACAATCTAAGTACTGGATAATCTTAGAGGTGAGATTTGGATTATTTACGTCGGGATGTGGCCTAAATATTTCCGCTAGATGCTGACGAAACGACTCCGCCTTGTCCTCGTCAGTTATAGCAATAGAATTGTCAATTTTGGTTAAAGGTGGTAGGCTAGTTTTGTATTGTAGGAGTTTATTTGTTTCCCTCCAGAGGCTGCCGTCAGAAGAGGATAAGTTGGATAGCTTTTGTTCAAATATGTCTGATTTGTATTTAAGAAGTTGTTTTTTAAGCGAATTAGAAAGTTTGTTGTAAAGTGCTCTGTGGGAGGGTAAACGAGAAGTTTGATACCTTGCCCTGGCTCTCCTTTTATCCGTAATTAATGAACGTATATGCATCGGTAAAGATGGCGTGCTGTTGGAAGTTGGGGTAGACTTAGATTGGGATGCCCATGCAGCTGATTGAATGATTGAGGTAAATTTATCAACGGCGTTATCAATATCCTCCAGAGTTTTTAATTTAACGTTCAGTGTGATCTCTTGATCTACTAAGTTATGGAACTTAATACGATCAGTTGAAGGATAAAATAATTTTGGAGCTGTCATACGTAATGTTGGGGATGCATTGATTGTCATAAGTACAGATGAGTGGTCAGAGTTTAGATCCAGGATGTTTTCCGGAGTGCAGACTAAATTACTTGGTACTTTGGCAACGAAAATATCAAGGATGTCAGGTTTTTTGCGTAAAGAAGTTGGCCAATACGTTGGACCTGGAGGTGCTAGAATTGAGTATTTGTTTGCATTGACGAAATTGTGTAGAACATTGCCACGTGGGTTGCCAGTTCGACAGCCCCAGGATTGATGCTTGGCATTAAAATCTCCACCGACTATGAAATTTGAAGTAAATGATGAGAAATAGTCGAGAAAAAGAGTTGAAGATAAGTTGTGTTTCGGGGGGCAGTAAACTGCAGCGATGGTGATAGGTATATGATTCAGCTTAATAGATACAGCACAGGATTGAAGATAATCTTGTGAGAAGTTTGGTAGGGGAGAAAAGGACAAAGTAGATTTAATTATGACAGCAACACCACCATGAGCTTTGTTGTCTGGATGATTGGATTTGAGCAGAGTATAACCTGGGATAAAAACATTGGAATATTTGGTAAGGTGAGTCTCAGTAATTAAGGCAATATCGACACGTTTTTCATATAGGACAGCTTGTAATTCATTGATGCGGTTTTTTATTCCATTAGCATTGAAAAGGATGACGATGATTGATTTTGAGGTGAGTGAGTTATTTATCATTTTTGTTTTTTAAGAGAGATGAGATAACTTGAGTTAAGAGTGTAATTAAGGGGTTAATTATTGATTTGAATTCGTCAAGAAAACTTGAAAATTTTTTATCAAAATCTAGTTCAGGGGGAGAATGGTTGGTATCTCTTGACTGATTTGAAGTAGCTTGGGCATAGGTTCTCTGGGATGAAGAGGGAGTGAGGGTTATAGGGTTGGTTTCCACAGATGGGTGGCATTCTTTTACAGTAGAATTATTATTAGTTGACTTAAAATTAACATTATCATGTAAAAATTTACTTTTGTTGTTAGGCTTGTTTCGACGTTGAAGTTCTCTATAGACGTTGCATCCTCGGTAGTTGGCTGGGTGGTTTCCTGCACATAGGGCACATCTGGGAGGAGAGTCTCTTGGTTTCGTGCAGATTGAAGAAGAATGTGAGTCTCCACAGCGGACACAACGAGCTGAGTAGCCACAGTAGGATCGCGTGTGACCATAGTCTTGACAGTTGAGGCATTGACTTACCAACTTTGGTTTGTATGGCTCTTCGATTTTAACCTTCGTATGAAGAAGGGAGGATAATTGAAATATTTCATTGGAGTGGTCAGTGGGCTCCAAGTCAATGAAGAAAAGTGGAAGTGGGCGTTTATTTATCTTATGCAGCACGTTTGTGACCTGCCTAACCTCGTAGAGACGTGTTTCAAGTTCAGCTTTAATCAGCTCCGTAGGTGTGGAGGGGTGCAAATTTCGAATAACCACTCTCAGTGGCTTGTCCTCTTTCAATTGGAAGGTGTGGTATTCTGCTTTTTGGTCTTTCAAATAGCGAATTAGTGTTCTATATGATTCGGGGTTAGCAGTCTGTATTTTTAATCGATCGGTGGAAGATTTGAAGTAAAAATTGTCTACTCCGATCAGCTCAATTAGAACTGAGGAAAAGCCAGGGAAATCTAAAACTCCTTTCATGAAGATTGGAGGTGGGGGTTTTATATGATCAGCAATGATAGATCCTTCGGAGACAGTGTCAGCTTCAATTATTGTAGCAGCAGGTTCGGTTTGAGTAAGCACTTCATAACGATTTGTCGTTATAAATAATTTATTATTTTTTTTTTTATTTGAGGTAGGATCCGGAGATTTTGGTTCAGATGAATCAGAATGGTTTCTTTTACTTATCTTTTGTGTCCAACCGGCATCCGTGTTATCAACCAGGAGTGAAGTTGGATCTGTTGAGTTCAGCATAGGATTATTTGTAGAATTTTTGATTAGGCGAGCTGCCTGTATAGTGTTGCTGTTTTTGTTTTTATCTGCATGTTTATTAATCACTTTCGGCGATGTGGGTACGTTGAGAGAACGCGGCATGTTATCTGTGGGCAAAGGTCGTGTACCGATGCGCGTTGCAGCGATAGCGTGACGGATTTAGTAGACGGTAAGAACTTTATTTAAACGTAAACTCAGTTCGTTTACATTTGGATTGAAAAAAAACGCACTTAGGCGCACTTCCAGTTTTTATAATGTATAAATAAATAGGGAAGAATTGCGAATTTTTTTTTACGTACTAGGTACGACAATTTTGGACGCGAAAATTTGACGGGATCGCGAAAATAACGGAGCGTAATTAAACGTGTGCGACTAGCGACGTGCAGACCGCGACTCCAATTTAAAAGTGAAAAAAAAACTAAGTATCACAATAACTAAAATTTATAATGTGTTAATGTTAATTAAAAAAATAAATAAATATTATTTATTTAGGTGGTGGATTTATCTACATTCGTAGATTACTTATGGATTTTGGCCTTTACCCTTTTGCGTTACAATATTATTTCAATTTTTCCGACTTTATTCGTGGATGTTTTTAAATTTTCAACATTTTTGTTTTAAAACATATTCTCTGCGTGAGTGATTCATCTGAGAAGGATCCAACCTTTCTTTATCTATGGAAAATCTCAAGCTCAGCTCTGAAAATGTTTTCGTTTAATACTTATTTGCTTGTTTATTCTACACCGTCTCGATTTTTCTGAACTTTAAAATTGTGTCGTAGCAAAGTTGCGTGTTTGATTAATAAAAACTACACGTTGCGTCGTGGACTTCCTTTGAGTTAATTAATAATAATTACGCATTTAAAAAATGTTAAACGATTTACAATATTCGATATTGCAACTCTGAAAGCTTAGCCTGCAGTGTAGTTTTTATCAAGAATAAAAAACAATATATTTGTTTCTACTAGTTACACAAACTTTTATTAAAAACTTTATTTTTTATGAATACACTGACGGTTCTAAACGATCGGCTTTAATTTGAAATTGTTTTCGTTTCAGGTCACCACCTTGTTGGTGCGCGTGCGTCGTTTTGTGGTGATCGAAAGTCTGTTCGATTAGCTGCACGAATGACTATGGCTGAGGTGGAAATGGAGCCGCCGACAGACAGGGCGAGCCGGTCGACGATCTACAAGACCAACAATAACCATCCGCTGGCCACGAACAATAACAACCATCTACATCACGTTCCCAGCGCGCGTCCGGTGGTCGTCAAACACAAAAAGCGGAAACGCCTGAACCAAGTGTTGGACAGGTTGGCGGGTCAGGCGACTTCGCCCAACAACAACAACAACAACAACAACAGTAGTAATCACAACAACAACAACAACAACGAGGTCGTGGCCGTGAAAGAAGAAGAGACGACGATCAAGGAGGACGGTGGGTCGGTGACAGCCATGGTGGTGGTGGATAGCGGCCACGTCCAGAACGGCGTCGAGTACGAGAGTGACGAGTCGTTGCGGAGGTCGTCGTGCAAAGATAGTTACGAAGAACCGTTCAGCCCAGCCGGATCGTCGTCGTGCAATCGGTCGCCGCGCAGCTCCCACACCGACTCGCCGTTCAGCCCGAACCGGACGAGGCCGGACGACCCGCCGGCGACGCATCTACCCGCACCACCGCCCCAGCAACAGTTTCACCCGCCGCCACCGCTCCCACCGCACCCGCTTCATCACTATCTCAAGTACCCCAAGTGCGACTGCCTGTTCTGCGGTGGCGACGGGACCTCGCCGCCCCGGCACCCGCTACCACCCATGCCGCCTCCCACATCGCTGCAGCAGCAGCAGCAGCACCACCAACTGAACCGGAACATGATGCACCACGACAAGAATCCGCAGCAGTTACCCGTCACGCCCATGTCGCCGGCATCGCTGTTAGCCGGTTCCATGTACACGTTCGAACACTACCTGCACACCAAATACCTGCCCGACATATTCCGGAAGCGGCGGAGCCATTCCGATTCCGATGTTCCTATGTGGTTCGAAGCTACTAAAGCCGAACACTGCAGCGGCGGCGGTAACGACGACTCGACCGCTTCGACGGCCGCGGCTGTCAGGTTGAACACTACGGTCGCGGCCGGGACCGGCAGCCGGAGGGGCAAGAGGCCGTTCTCGGTGCCACATCCGCTGGACAAGCCGGCTCGGAAGAGGGGTCCGTCCGCGGGCTCCAGATCGTCCGCGCACCCGCCGCCGCAACCGCCCCAAGACTCGCCGCTCGACCTGTCCATGAAGAACGGATTTTGGCCGTTTACCGCACCTGAACCGCCGACGGCAGCGGCCGAACCCTCCGTGGCCACCGTCATCGCAAACGCCGCGACGACGCCGCCGTCACCTCCGCTCCCGGCCGCCGTCTCTTCCACTGCCACTCCTACGACGTCGGTCGTGTCGGTGGGCTACTACAGCCGGCCGGGTAGCGCGGGCGGTTACACCGTGCCGGTAGTCAAGGGCGACGTGGCATCGCGCACCACCAAGGCTTCGGTGGCCGTCCGGTACAACCTGGAAGTGTCGCCCGTCGTCGAGGAGATGCCCGTCGGCTCGGACGTGGCGTACGTGTGTCCGGTGTGTGGGCAGATGTTCAGCCTGCACGACCGGCTGGCCAAACACATGGCTTCTCGGCACAAGACCTCGGCGTCGGCGTCGTCGTCGTCCATCACCGGGACGCCGGCGTCGTCGTCGTCGGAAAACGGCGGCGGCGGTGGCGGCGACTCGTCCGGCGGCGCGACCAAGGCGTACCCGTGCGAGGTGTGCAACCGGTCGTTCGCGCGCAGCGACATGCTCACCCGGCACATGCGACTCCACACGGGCGTCAAGCCGTACACGTGTCGCGTGTGCGGGCAAGTGTTCTCGCGGTCCGATCACCTGAGCACGCACCAGCGCACGCACACGGGCGAAAAACCGTACAAGTGTCCGCAGTGTCCGTACGCCGCGTGCCGCCGGGACATGATCACCCGGCACATGCGCACCCACTCCCGGTACGAGATGGTCTCGTCGTCGTCCGCGTCCGGGGCCGCGGCCATGGCGGCCGCGCTAGGCCTGGACCCGCCGTCGCCCGCCTCGCCCACCGACGGCCAACTCTTGCTGTCGCCCCCGCTCGAGGTCCTCTGCAAGTCCGAACCGCAGTAGCAGCGGTGTCCGCGGAATCGTGCGGACGGGGTCGTAATGTTGTTATTATGATGTCAACGTCTCACGTTTGTGTAGTAATATTCTAATGATATAGTAAATAATATAAAATGTGTTTATAATAATATTATTTATTAAAATGTATAAAACGTAGCGCCGATAATGTTATTATACTATTTGTACTTGTAAATTTTAGTCTTAAGAACGATACACACAGAACACACACACCGTACACATACACAACACACACACACACACAACATACTACACTACAAACGCGCGTGCGCACACAGCTTTTTGTCAAAACCAAAGATAAAATATTATAATAATAACAATAAGTCTATGCGCATGTATATCATGTTTAATTGTTCGTTTTCCTGAACGATTACATTTTTTTTTCTCGTATGGATAACATTCATATTATTATGTGTGTATTGACTACAAATAATAATAATATGATCGTAATACTCGGGTATTGTGTTACTATTATTATTTATATTATGTATACCTACATTTTTTTTTTTCGTTTCGTCGTCGATATACGACTCGACTCGTGCTGCTTACGTGTTTCGTACACCACGACAAAGTATTTGGTCCGCGAGAGAAGATTTCTCGCGTATAAAATATATTTTTCGTCTCGTACGCTGACAATCGTCGTCGCCGCGCGCAGTCTACGTAAATCAACAACGAACGTCGTCATACGCGCGTCATGTATTTTTTTCTTTTACTCTAATTAATTTTCAAATAAGTGTAAAACAACAGGGTGTGTGATAACTATTATTTTGTATATTATTATTATGTATTATGTACCGCGACGTGCCATCCTACGTAAGTTCGTTTTTTATTACCATTTTTTTTTTCGTTTTTGTACCATTGTTATCGTCGCGAGATTTGCCGACTCGATACATTCTGGTCATCCAGCTACAGTCATCCGTCGTCATTATTCATACAATGTTGATACTGTTTTTTTTTCATTTTTTGTTCGCACTGAAGCGAATATTTGCTCAAATTTAATAACAAAATCTCCCTAAATACCTGATTACGGGAAATACGTTTCGCGATTTGTAAAAATAAAAGAATTATCGCAAAATCCCTATACGAAGCGGCTGTTATTATTATTACTATCATTAATTTTTTTTTCTTAATGAAGCGTGTTAAATAAAATTCTTTATTACGGAAACCACATATCTTTCGACATTTTTTCTTACCAAACGATTATCGTTAGTATACAATAACGTCATATCATAAATATTATATACGGACGATTGAATTATTATTAATGTATAATGCTATTTTTATTGTAATATTATATTATACAAAACGTGCATGATGTGATAGAAACGAAATGTTATAACTGTCGTGAGATTGTTAAACGGAAAACGGTAAAACAGGGACATAATATTATTTTTATTTGTATAAAACATACCTATTTATATACATATATATATATATATTATATATAAATGATATAAACCGTTTTTATTTCTATTCAAGCCGTAAATAATATCATTTGAAAACTGTATTTTTTTCCATAGCAATAGTGAACGACGCAAAAAACTGATTGTCCGTGAAAAAAACTAATTATAAATTTTATATTTTTTCATTACAATGTATTACACTATATTTATGTACCTATGAATATAATATATTTATATAATAATAATGCATGTAACGTACGCTACGCACCTGTAAACGATTTTTTTATTTTCGAATATATACTGGTACAGCGTAGTATAGTATGTGTCGTCCTATATCCGTGTATGTTTATTTTTATTTTTACTAAAATGCGACGTGCGAAAACTCGCTGTCGTCATAATAATGTTAAGCTTTGCTCAAATTCATGTGTTAAGAGAAGACCAACAGAAATTATAAGAATTAAAATGCAACTTTGTTTTTTTATCGGTTTTTGACATTTTTCTTTTTTTTTTGCATACCGTACATTATTGTAAAATTGTTACTCGTTTATAATATTATATTAATGTAATAATAATATTATGTCTGTGCCGCTCTGTGTTTGTTTACGTGAAACGAAATTGAAAAAAAAATTCTATTAAATATATTTATAAGAAAAAAAAAAGTGGAGACTTGAATTATTTTTTTCCTTATATTATTATCATCATATGCCAATATTCTGATGACCAATGCTTGACTATCGGTGTCTATCAATAGATTGTTTGAACCGATGGTGACCGTAGCCTACCATCTATATATCATATACCACGGTCACTCGCTGTTCAGTTTAGTTGTAGTTAGACACAAGTAGGAGAAATCCCCTTCTCTTTGGTTTTTTTTTTAACAGTTATAGAGCAGTAAATGATCACAATTATTGGCGTAATTGTGAGGGAAAAAGAGGGAATTTAATTTTCCCCTTCTCTAGATGTGTTACTAGTATTAGGAATGTTCTTTGACAACACATATATAAGAAAGAATGCATTGAATGTAACATACATTTAGAGATATGTTGACAACATTATTATATTATAAACTAGGTTATAAAAATAACCTAATCATATTTTATTTTATGAACTAAAACTATTATTTAAGAACTGTCATCGGATTATCAATTAAAAAAAAATAAACCCAATAATATCAAGATTACAGCATAAATATTGTTCAAATCAATATTTAATTGAATATTTTTATTGTTTGTATTATGTTATGAGTATGTTAAAATTTAAAATGTTAGGCTACGATCAAGAGCACTACAACTATATAGTATTCCTTGGCCACCAAACTCATCAGTTATATTATGTGTGGTTATGAATTGTTCGTCACCCTCCGTTAACGAATTCTTGCTGACGCTGCGTAGGCCACGGTTAATCTGTTGTCTTGACGGAAAAATGTGATAAACGGCCTAGGTTTATTGGTTTATACATAATATTATACATAAAGTGGGGGTCCGAAGGGGGCCCGTCCACAAAAATTGTTTAACTTCCAAAAACTAATCAGATTATATAGTACACCGTATACGTGGTGTGAAAATGTAATATATTATCGTATAAGAATAAGATACTTCTCGGATTTAATCAAAACTAGACGTATAAACATCATAAAAAAAAGTTAAATATATTTGTGTTATGATACACGGATCGTTACAACGAAAAAATAATTATTGGAACGACTAAATATAACGAATATCATAAAATTACAGTGTTGAATATTTTTTAACACAAAATTCAACGTCGGTACACAACAATATAAGTGGTTTAGTCACGGTAAGTGTAATTAATGTATTGAAATGTGTTTTTTAAAGTTGAAATAGTGCTCGATTTTGGGAGAATGCAAGGGACGGGTGCCACTCTATTTTTATAATTATTTCGGCGTGCCTTTTATAGTATTATTTTTTAAAAAGAATGACGATTACGGGACTTACTGCATAATGATACTGTCTTTTTTCAATTTAAGGACGGCAAATTTTTATTCAGACAAAATTTTGTCTCGTAGAGTTATGGTTATTAATACTGATTCAATTCCGTATTTGGGACTCAAGCTGTTTGCATCCATTTCGTTTTGTACCAAGTTTTGCGCCCCCTCTGCCAACGTGCATCATGTTACGGTATGATTCATACCTACCTATATGTATGACTATAGTTTGGCGTCCCAATTTTTTAATGAATGTCCCGCTAAATGTTTTTGTCTTGTCCGTGGAAAGTAACCTAACCTACCGATCTTAATAGCTTTTATCCCAATTTTATAATTTCAACGTAAATCATATTAATTTTCCCGGTTTATTACAAAAACATTTAAAATTATCAGAAATAAAAACAATTGCATTTTTTTTAAACTGTCATATTGTATTTTAATTTTGTAGAGAGGGATGAAAAGAGCTGTTCTGATAAAGAGTTAGATATATATTTTACGTAAGTTATTATTTTTATGACCTAAAATCTGTTTCCAAATGATATCACACAGTGTGGTTTATCGAATTTTAAAGTATACTGCTCATCACCCGCAGTATAATCCTACCATCATTCCTCCTCATTCCGTCAAATCATCCCTTTCTCGGCTTTCGGGTAGGTTCGCCATGATATTTCTATCCCACTTTTACACACGTAAAGTATTTGGTCACTTTCTAATCATGATAACATGTTACCTTTGTGTACTCGTACACGATGTCCGGGTATTCACGTTAAAAGCGCAGGTGAACTGTGTGGCTCATCTCTGAGTCGACAACGCATTATAATTTCCGAAAACGTGATCGAACGTGCGTCGTCGTGCCGAATAGAACACGATAATAATATTATTTATTTAGGTAATAATAATTAATAATAATATAATAATTATGCGCGGTGCATATGTACGCGCGGCGGGTATACTGCAGCATCGACAGCACCGGCCGCCACCGTTGATTTCCGGTCGGATCGATAACCGCCGTCTGCGCGAGATCGGTTCGCCGCGATACGCGCCGCACAACACGGCCATTATAAAACATCGATATAATATTATTATAATATTATGTTTTGTATAATATTATCATGCGACAGAGCATAATATTAATTGGTCTATCGGCGTCGCAGCGGTTGCAGGTAGCACGTTGCAGTGTTCCATAAGTGTATATACCTATACGCGGCCGTTTGTGTGCTGTAGCTAATGGATGGTTTTAACCGCGTTTTATGTTAATTGCGAGGACACGCGAACACCGCCGATTACCTGCAATTATTAATATACTATGCGATAGGTGCCTATAGATAGATATTGGTAGAAAAAAAAAATAAATAAAAAACACTAGTTTTTTGAGAAAATTCTACTTATTATTTATATTTTATACTTACAATACACGATCGTCATCGCGATAATAATAATATTATCTCGTGGACGAGAGAGATGATCATAATTTGTTTCTTGATTTCGGTGCAATTATACTGATATTATGCGTAAAAAACCAAACCGTACGTCTAATAACATAAATGATCTATGCAATGTACAGATATAGGTATTAATTATTATCGTGTAAAAAATAAAAATCCGTCGACCGGCGTCGTGTGCCTGCAAGTAAGTATTATAATATAGTGTGTGTACTGCAGCGTGCGCGATTGTATCGTACAGTGCGGGTTATGTGTAACAGTCAAGAGCTGTGATGCAGATGATCTGTCCAGATAAAACTACACCGGTGCAGGGCGTTTACGCTTCGGTGCGTTTTAAACGGCGCGTCGGCGGTGATGCGATGATGACGATTACGATTACGTATTGTAATATTTTACTGGTCGTCCACGTTTTGTGTTACGAAACCCGCACAGAGAACCTCCATAAAGCTCGCTATTATACATATTTATATACATACTTACGAAACGTGAACCCACCTGTGAATTCGGACCACTCCGTATAACCACTCTTAGCTGTTGATATTATTGTCATACTGGCGTAGTTATGTTCGGAACAGATTTCGCAGATTTGGCTGAGAGTATAGGTAATGTTTGCTAGGAAAATTTCTCGCATAAAATCAGTATTATATAAAGG